TCTGACTTGTAGCTATCCTGTCGGATAATTCTGACTTGTAGCTATCCTGTCGGAGAAGAGAACTGCTCCATAGTTCCCAAGGCTGTTGTCTTTATGGGAGAACCGTGTCTCATCTTCCTTCCACGGTACAAACCAATGCTTCAGCCACTGGACCACCAGGGTTCCTATAACATCACTAGTCTTAAAGGAAATGCAAATTAAACCCACAGTGAGATTCCAGTTTACATCCCGTTAGTATGGCTATTCGAGAAAACACAGACGATGACAAGCACTGATGAAGAGGTGGAGAACTTATTCATAGGACTTTAAAACAACGCAGCTGCCGTGGACAACAGTTCAACGGGTCCTCAAAGAGTTACACATAGAACTGCCATATGACTTAGAAATTCTGCTTCTAGGTATATACCCAGAAAAATAAAATGCAGGTGTTCAAACAAAAACTTGTACATGAATGGTCGTAGCAACATTGGTCACAGTAGCCAAAAGGTGGAACCCACTCAAGTGTCCAACAGAGAAACGAATAAACATAATGTGGTTTAGGCTCTTGTTGCTGTGGTTATGTGCCGTGGAGTTGGTTCCGACTCATAGCAACCCTCTATAGGGTTTCCAAGGCTGTAAATCTTTATTGTTGTTGTTATTTTGCCGTGGAGTCAGTTCTGACTCACAGCGACCCTATACAGGGTTTCTGAGGCTGTAAATTTTCACAGGAGCAGAAAGCGTCATCTTTCTCCCACAGAACAGCTGGTAGTTTCGAACTGCTGACCGTGAGATTAGCAGCCCGATTTGTAACCACTACATTACCAGATCTCCTTGGTTTATACATACCATGTGATACTATTCAGTCATAAAAAGGAATGACGTTTTAAAACATGCTACCACAGGGGTGGCCCTTAAAAACATGCTAAATGAAATGCCAGACACAAAAGGTCAAACACCGTATAGTTCCGCTTACATGAACTATCTAGAACAGGCAAATTCATAGGGACAGAAAGTCGGTTAGATGCCACCAGGATTAGGGCAGGGAAGAGGAAGGGGAAGTTATGGCTTTTGGGCCTCTTTCTGTGAGGATGAGAAACATGTAGAAATGATTACACAACATGGTGAATGAATGCAAGACGGTGAGTCAAAAATTCTCCGCACTCCGGTTATATTAAAACGCCCATCCGTGTGCATAGCTGATGACAACATTAAACGTGCACATGAAATGATTCTGTCACATAGACGAGTGACAGTGGGTTACATTGCAAATCATCTGCAAATCAGCCGTGGCTCTGCCTATGAAACAGTCCGTGACAGACTTGGGTTTCAACAAGTTTGTGAGAGATGGGTCCTGAAACAACGCACGGAAAACCATAAATTGAGTGTTTGAACATCTGCAAACAAAATTTGGGCCAATATTCAAAAACAGGTAAAAGTTTCTTTAAAGAAATTGTTACTAGTGATGAGGCATGGATTCATCACTATGAGCCTGAGAGTAAAAGGCAGAGTATGGAATGGAAACATCCTCAATTGCTGACGAAGAAAAAGTTCAAAAGTCAACTGGAAAATTGATGCTTACAGTTTTCTGGGACCTCAAGGGCCAGTATTGGAACATTTTCAGGGAAAAGGGTCAACAATCAACAGTGTTCATTACAGTGAGATGTTCATTGAAGAGCTGAAGCTTAAGCTTTCAATTAAATGCAGAGGACTGCTATCCAAGGGCCTTGTGATCTTGCACGACAACGTACATCCACACACCTCTGCCCACACTGTTGACACTCTGCTCCATTGGATTTTCACCTGTTTGGTCCCCTGAAAGCAGCCCTTCGAGGATAAAAACCCACCTCTGATGAAGAAGCAAAGACAGTGGTACATTCATGGCTTGCAGCTCAGCTTAAAACATTTTTAAGTAAAGGAATATGAAAGCTGTTGATAGATGAACAAAGTGTATTGAAAAGCAAGGTGATTATGTTGAAAATGATGTATTTGTCTTTTTAAAAAATTGATTAAAATAAATAATACAGCCAGAGTGCGGATAATGTTTTGACTCTCTCTCATATTAAATGTTATTTAGGATTCCTGGTGTGGTGCTGTAGGATCAGCACTGGACTGCAAACCATAAGGTCAGCGGTTCAAGCCCACCAGCTGCTCCCTGGGAACCCTACTCCATGGCACTTAACAACATCAACAAGTATTAAGGGGGAGCTGCAGCTTCTAGGTCTCAGTTCAGGGGATGAGAAACCTGTGGACAATGGCTGCACAACTTGGGGACAGTGTTCATGTCGCTGAATTGTACCCTTCAAGATGGCAGACCTGCCACACTGTAGGTCACACACGTTTAATCACAAAAATGAAAAAAGTGATTTTGGAAAGTGGTTGCAGTCATGTGGGCGATGTTGTGATAAATAAAGCACATTGTGAATCAAAACCACCGGATGCTCAGATGACTAAGAAACCGCCAGAGTCTTATGCGTGGAGACAAAATGAGGGCAGAACAGAAATTCAGCTGTGAATAGTGAATTAACTCTGGTGGCTGGGGACACTGGGGGTGGTTTTTAATAATAATAATTATTATTTTAACTTTTTTGCCTCCTCCAAATACTTTTATAAAGAACATATTACTATTGTGTTTTTTTTTTAACCCATCAAGAACTTTCATGTTCTCCACCAGGCCTCCACGGATGTCCTTTTGTGCTCAGATGACTAACTCTTGTCATCAAGGCCTCTCTCTGCCCCCTGTGTTACCACCCCCAAGTCAGATCCACGCTCAGGGGGCTGGGTGAATCCACAAGCAGCCCCTGAGAAAAACTGCTCTCAACACATTGGAATTAAAGGAAACCAAGGGCCCCTGGTGTGGTGCTGTGGGTTAATGCGCTCCAAAGTCAGTTTGAACTGCAAGGTCGGTGATTCAAGCTTACCAGCCAACTCCTTGGAAATCCTATACAGGGTTGCTATTAGTCGGAGGCCACTTGACATCACTTAACAACAACAAAAAGGGTCCCTTCCGAACTGTCATCCTGGGATGCTCTCCTGTGTCTGCAGCTGAAGGCTCAGAAGAAGAGGCTTAGTTCCCTCAACTCTTTATGTTGGACTTTGCTCTCTGTCCTCAGTGCCCACTTCTGGACAGGCACTGGGTCTACCTGGGGGAAAGGAGCCAGGTCTTTGTCCTCCTGGAGCGTCTGGCTCATGGCTGCATCAGTCTTAGAACAAACAGTCCCAAGAGAAAGTAGGAATGAGCTGGGATGCACTTAGGAGGGAAATGCAACAAGGTTAATTTGGGGGCCAGAGAAGGCTTCTCTGGAGGAAGTTGAGTAGGAGAAAGAGGTGAAAGTGAAAGAGGGGAAAATGAAAGAGGGGAAAGTGGATGAGGAGGAAAGGAAAGTAGAGGAGGTGAAGCATAAAGAAGAGGAGGAGGAAGAAAACAGAGGAGAAGGAAGTGAAAGTGGAGGAGGAGGAAGAGGAGGAAGGGGTGAAGGGAAAGGAGGGAGAGGAAGAGGAAGAGGATAAGTAGAAGGCAGAACAGAAAAGAGTGTTTCCAAAGTAGCCACAGCATGTGCAAAGGCCCTGGGGTGAAGGGGAGGATCATTTGAAGGGATTTAACTATGGGACAGCAGTAGATGGTCGTCTGGGACCATGACATCAGACAAATCTCTCTGCCGGCCTTCAGGTCACTCAAGGTCAACCCCGTACCTTGCCACAATCTCAGGCTGGCGGGACAGCTCCATCACCGTGAATGCCAAGTGATTGGCGGAGGTCTCGTGACCTAGGGGAGAGGAGGAGAGATGGGGACAGGAGCTGTATCCCTCAGAGTTAGGGTCTCAAGTGACCAAAGCGTCCATCATTTCTGCAAAGCTCTGAGCTCTTGGTCACCACCAAAGCTACCAACCAGCAATGAAGAAGGTGACAAAGTTGTCTAGCAGAATCTCATCATCCTGGGTATCCTCTTCAGCTGGAAGACAAAGAAGAGGCTCTGTCCCCTGGTGGCAGATGTCTGTAACACTCAAATCCCAGTTTCCTTTTCCCGCGGCTCAAAAAAGAACCAAATGTCTTTCTACTTTTAAACCAGACAAGAGACAACTGGAGTCCTTTGTGGTCCTGATGCTGATGGGGCGCCCCTCTCCTGCCCCTCAGTTGTAACCCACGCACCTTTGAGAATCTGTGTGAGGATGTCGGCAGGAACGTCCTCCCCTCTCTTGAGGGCCTCCCGGCGGTGCTGAACCCAGTCCTTGCCAACCTGGCGCAGAAAGCGGATGCTCTCTCGGATCTCTCGCAGCTGTTTCCGCTTCCCTGGTAAAAACTAAACCGAGATTCCAGCATAGACGGCTGGCTGAACACACACGATCCTCTCCCCCTGTCCCTCTCCCATTCCAAAACGTATTGGGACGTCAGAAGCATCTCTTCATCTAGAAGAGATGAAGTAGCCAGGGACACTAGATCAAGATGGTGGCTTAAACCCAAGCATCCACTTCCCCTTCCTATACCAAAGCTGTAGAAATGATGGAGAGGAGCTGTAAACATCTCCAGATAGAAATGAGAAGAAAGTTGAGGGTGGTTAAAATCTCATCAGAGGAGAAGGCATAAGGAAGGGGCATCAACTGCTAAAGTGAATGAGACGTTGTATCAGAGGGGACTACAAGCTCCCAGGCTGAAGTCTCAGGGAAAAGTGGAGGGGGGAGGGGATCTAAGCATCGTCACCTGGGGTACCACTTTCCCCCCTTCTTCCTTCTTTAAGCCTGGAACAAGGAGGTGGAGGCTGGAGCTACAGGGCTCACTGTATGAAATGATACACTAAGGACAGTGGACAGAAAGAAAACCCCAGAAACATCTGTCCCAGATTTCCTGCTTTGAGAATCATTCTACAGGGGAGAAGATTCAGCTCTCCTTTATTTAAGCCACTTTCATTCTGATCCTCTGCTTTAGGAGATGAATGCAAATCCTAACTGAATCAGAGGGTGAGGTGAGTCACTTCAGAAAGTGGAGAACTCAAAACCCATTCTGAGAAAATGAATGAAGGAGAGGCTCCAGAAACCGAGGAGACAAGCTGCTGGTCACTGGAGGCAGGGCTGAGGTAGTACCTTTGCCAGGGTGTTTCGGGATGCCGTGATGCCCTCCAACATCACTCTCACTGCCCTGGGCAGAGGTTTCTGGGCATCCAGCAGCATGCTGGTCTCCATCCCGAAAGCTGCCTGGGGAAGAGAGATGAGCCAGCTCATGCCTGGGAAATGAAAGGTCAGCAGGTCCAGAGCAGAGCTTGGACCTGGATTACGGCTTTAGGAGTCGCAGTTTATCAGCTACTACAATGACTCGGATGATTCTAGTGCCTTGGAGGATTGTGAGAATTAACAGCACACAATTAACTGCTCAGTTAACTTTGGCTTCCTTGACACGAGGCTTTCTCCCTACATGCAACCTTCCTCGGGTGTCAATTGTTGTTATGTGCCATGGAGTCGGTTTTGACCCACAGCGACCCTGTACAGGATTTCCGAGGCTGTAAATCTTCACGGGAGCAGAAAGCCTCATCTGTCTCCCACAGAACAACTGGTAGTTTCGAACTGCTGACCTTGCGGTTCGCAGCCCGATTCGTAACCACTACGCTACCAGAGGTCCTTTCCATTAGATCCCCTCTACCCCGAAATGCTGTGGATTGTATGAATGGCAACAATCATAATCAGGCTTCACGGTTCCTTCAGGTCAGCTCCCTGATCTGCATGCATGTGGGGTTTGGGATTATCTGGGCTACTTCTAAATCAGCCAGGTGGATCATCAAGCCACACTCAACTAGTGGGGCGGTCAGAATCAGGCCAACGTGAGATCAAGGTCAGCCCCTCTGCTTCGGAGTGTCCATCTCCAGAAAATACATTCAGAGTCCTGATCTCACTCTGGGTTGCTTTGAATATTCGAGGAGATTCTATGCAAAGCCCCCAGCAGAGAGCAAGGGGTACTGGTGTGTGGAAGAGCAGGGGGAAGGGAGGATAGCAAGCAAAATGGAGAGAGAGAAGACCCCCGGCTCCCGGGGACATTGCACCCCTCACCCCAGCTGTCCACCATCACCTTGGCCAGGATGTCCATGGCAGTACAGGTGAGCATGTCCTGCATGGACACCGGGGTCTGCCCGTCCGCCTTGGCTTCCAGAATCTCCACCAGCTGCTCAGCCTTCTCGTTGAATGTTTCCATCAAACTAACCAAGGAGCTGGGGGACAGCAGAGGTGTCAGTGGTCAGCAGAACTAGCCCCTGTGGGCTGCCTGCCACCTCCCCTCTGAAGAGAGGAGGTTGTACCCCTTGTACAGTGTGAAGATGAGTGTCCAGTTCACCAGGCCTCCCTGGAGCCCAAGCCCGTTAGGATCATGATAACCTAGCCACGCCTAGGTTTGTACATTTCTTCTCCACTCAAGACAGTCACCCTTGTCTTCACAGTTCCATGGGGCCCCTGTTTTCCACTGTAGTCTCCCCAACCCTGACTTCTGGGGGATGTAGCAATGTAGACACTCCAGATGAAAGTGGGGAGGGAGGGAGAAAAGGTTTTTGGGACCTTCCAGGGTCAGGAGGGTGCCCCAGTGCCTCTCCTTCCTCTCAGCTGATACCTCATGTTTCCTACTCTCTCCTGAACAATCACAGGGCCCAGCCCTCCTTGGAAATGAGTCCTCAGGTGCCATCTGCAGCCCAGAGCTCCCAATCTCATAGTGCCCCCTACCTCTAGAGGGCAGCCCCTGGACGTCTCCTAGGCATAGAATTTGTTTAGAAACGTGTGTGGAAGGAAGTACTCCAAACTCATGAATATGGTAGCCCCAAGGGGAGTCCTGGTGAAGATAAGCACTGGACTTCAAGGTTGATGGTTCAAACTCACCAACCACACCTCAGAAACCCTATACAGGGATGATATGAGTCAGAACCCACTCAACGGCACTTCTTAACAACAATAAAGGGAGTAGGAAGGGGCTGAGACTAGAATTTTGTAACATTACCTTTTTCTGGATTGTCTAAATCTTTACTGAGAGTACAGTGCTTTGGTAATTAAAAGTAATTTTCAATGTTAATCATCATGGGTACAGAGGATATGGTATTTGTTGTCTTTTTCTTATTCTTGCAACTCCTTGGTAAATTTGAAGCTATTTCCAACTAAGATATTTTTAAAAATTAAAAAGGAATATGCAGTAATCCCCAGGAGCCTGAGACCAGAAGAACTAGATGGTGCCCAGCTACCTCTATCAGTTACCACTGCTCTGAAAGGGATCACATTGTGTCCTGGATGGCGTGGGAGACAAATGTGGAAGGAAACTCAAAATCATAAAAAGCTCTGGCTGACTGGATGGGTAGAGACTGATGAGCCCTAACAACACGCCCCACGTTCACCCTCCAAGTCTGGAAATGAACTCACCCCCATGACTGAACTTTAAGTCAAGCAACAAATAGGTCTACAAGGGGAACGATCACACGGGTAGAGCGCCCACACCTTAGACCAATCACATATGTGAGCTCAAAAGGGCAGCACTTTGATTCAGTCAAGGCCAAGAACAGAGTTCAGAAGGGTGGAGGAATGGAAACAGGAACACAGGGAGGAGGTGGGATAAATGATGTGGCATTGTGGGAACTGTAATCAGTTACACGAAACAAAATGTGTATAAATCGTTGAGTGGAAAATGGGTCCGCTCTGTAAACTTCCACCCAATTCGCAATCAAAAGTTTGGGGGGAAACTTAAAACAGATAAACAGGGAAGAGACAAAGGGTAATTGTTTCCATGAGTTAAGATAACCAGCTCATTGTTTAGAAGCCAGTCAGTTCTGCTCTAGCTCCCCGGCTGGCAGCTGCCCAACCCATGCCCACATCTGCTGCACATCTCATCCTGTGGCCCAGGGCTGTCCTGAAAGCAATTTTGCTCCAGGAATCCTCTCCGCCCTAAAATGCTGTGAAGCACCGTCCCTGCCACTCTTAGGAGACAAATGAAATCAGGAATTCACTGCTTCCAGACTCTAACATTGCTTTCCCTGTTGCTGCTACCTTTCAGCTCCTTCATAGCATTCTATTCCTTCCCACGTCAGGACTCTGCAGGCCTACCCTCTCTGCCTGGACCACCCTCCCCTCCCACCTTCCATCTTCCCATGTCCCCATAAGCCATCTGCAGATGGACTCTCAAATCCCGTCCTTTGGGACATGCCTCTGGAACCCCAGTATACGCTCCTGTCTTCAAAACACGTCCGTGGTGTACAGTTCTGTATTTCTTTGCCAGATTGTATGCAAGTTAGTGAGATAACATTCAAGTTGACAGTCTGGACTGAGTGTGGCTGGTTATACAAATGCCACACTGGGCTTGGAATGGCTCTAATGTTATCATTTCTTTACGAGTGAATCTTTTACAGCTTTGTTGGGCTCGAGTGTTAGCTGAGAATCAGGACCATGGTCTTGAGATAAAAGTAATATCTAGAAAAGTAGAAACTGGCAGTTTATTCTCACAATATCATTACAAATCCTTCGTGATGTTCTGTGTGGGTAATGGCAGGGCAGAGACACGCCAGCGGTCCCTACCTTCTCTTCATCAGTGAATGAGGATCCTGTGGGCTCAAGAGCACATTCACCAACACTGAAAAGCATCTGCCAAAGCATCTTTGCTATCATTTATTTCCAATTTTACATTTAGGACAAAATAGGAATCTCTAAGATGTTGCAAAGCAGAACAATAAAAATAGGTGTGAAAGATTACAACCGTGCAGAGCAGACTCATGGGAACAGTGCCGCTGGGATTCCTGTCAAACCACAGACAATTGGCTGGTTAGACTCTAGGCCTTCTGCTAGCCTCACAGCTTCCTGAGGGCCCAGGCCACCCTTCCATCAATCCCTTCCAATTCTCACATCCAGCAACTTTCCGTCATTCCAGGTCCTTAATTCCCTCAAGCACTGACTTGCTCTATAATAATCCTACAGGGTGTGTGGGGTATCCAGTACTGTGCTGGGGACAGGGCCAGAGGTCCAGGGACAGGGCCTGTCTTCTGTCTTTCAGGAACAATGGGACAGGTGGGTGTGCTGCAGTGGATGTAGGACAAATGTGATGGAGCCTCAAAGATCAGGACTCAGGACACACAAAATGTGTTCTATCTGTGCAAGACAATATCATCCAACCACAAAATAAAGTACTGATATATACATGGTCGCTCTGTAGGATAAGCACTGGACTGCAAACCATAGTTTGGTGGCTCAAACCCACCTGCTGCACCATAGGAGAAAGCTGAAGCTTTCTGCTTCCTTAAAGATTTACAGTCTCGGGCTGATGAAAGGAGATGGGGATAGCACCCATGTGGTATAGTAGTGAATAATTGCTATCAGGACGGTGGACTGTGAGGATTGGAAATGTAAAGGTAGACATTTTGAAGTGAAAGAATGGGAGTGGTTGACTTTGCAGTCTAGGAGTGGAGGTCCCTGGGACCATGAAGGGAGAAGAGTGGAGAGCGGGACCCTACCCAGAGATGCAGTGATGCCAGAGATGGAGGCAGAGATGATGACGTGGAGAGATGGAGTGGCTGGGGACTTTGGACCCAGAGAGGGAGAGGGGCTGTGTGCTGATGACCAGGGGACAGGCTTGCAAGGTGTACCCTTTGGTTGGTTGATGATACATGAAGGGGACTGTAACCATGGCAATGAAATTATCTATGATAGGATAAATGTAAAGCTAATGTTCTCCCATGTAAACTATCACATAATTCACAATAAAAGATTAAAAAATTTAAAAAAAAAAGATTTACAGTCTCAGAAACCCTATCCAGGATCGCTATGAGTCACAACTGACTTAACGGCACTTAACAACACACTACAATAGCATAAAATGTGAAGAAAAAAAAAATACGTAAAGTAAAAGAATCTCGTAACAAAAGATTCCAGTTACGGGAAACATCCAGAAGAGCAAATCCAGACAGAAGATAAATCAACAGCTGCCAAGGGATGCGAGTTGAGGGACTGGAAGTGGGGTGGGGAGTGACCACTAGTAGGTACCAGGCTTCATGCTAAGGTGATGAAAATGTTCTAAAACTGATTGTGAACATACTACAAACTTTTGGGGGTTTTTTCTTTTCTGTTACAAATTCAGTTGTGGTGTGGTTAAATATTGGACCACAGGGATGAGTTCAGTTCAAGCCGGAAGGATGATTCAATCGTCTTGGGGATTCCATCCGTCTCTATCGACCGGTAAGCTCATTTTTATACATGTATGAGAGAAAGAGAGATTTTGACTCTTGTTTCACATTTTTCTCCCATTTGATCCGGAAGCTTCTATTATGATCCCTTTCAGAGAGGCTGGTAGTAACAGCCAGGTACCATCTTCTTCCGGTCTCAGAGTCATGGTGGCTGACACTCACATGGTCCTGTGGATTTATTGTTTCCACACATCTTTTAATGTCTTCACTCTTTTTGACTCTGGATGGGGAGAGATCAATAGTGGTACCTTAGATGGCCACTCACCATCTATCAAGACTCCAGTTGCTACTCACCAAAGTAGGATGTAGAACACTGTCTTTGTGGACTGTTATGCCAACTGACCTTGGTTGTCCACCGAGACTATGATCTTGGGACTCCAGGCCCAGGGATTCACTCCTTCAAGGTATTTGGTAATGTCTGAGACGTTTTCGTAACTTTGCCTCCTGTGTGCTCTACTATATTCATGGATATATTTGCAGCATATGGGTAAACACATACACAGAAATGTTGTTATTGTTAAGTGCCGTGGAGTCGGTTCCGACTCATAGTGACCCTGCACAGGGTTTCTGAGGCTGTAAATCTTTACGGGAGCAGAACGCCTCATCTTTCTCCCGCGGAACCGCTGATAGTTTCAAACTGCTGACCTTGATGTTGGCAGCCCAACTTGTAACCACTATGCTACCAGAGCTCCTTCATACACAGAAATAGCCTCTGTTAACCTATATATTAGTGGGTATAGTTCCATTCTTCCCACACCCTGTTCAGCTTTGTAGATTTCTTCATCCGCTTGTAGATTTCTGCATCCACTTGTAGATTTCTTCATCCACTTGTAGATTTCTGCTATTACTGTTACTGCAGATTTGTGTATATATAATAGTATTCACCTCTATTGCCTTTAACTGTTCTATTCCTCCCAGTGCCTTCCTCTACCTTCATCATTCTTTGTGGGTCTTCCCCCATACTACAAACTAATTGCATTGTACAAATGGCACACTGTGTGAATTGTATCTCAATAAGGCTGGTAAAAAAAACCCGAAAATAATAATAAACAAAATGTTGCTTAAAAAAGAAGACTAGACAAGGGCAGTCTGAGTGGGAGGAGTCCCCCATGCCTCTGATCTTCACTGACACTCAGCCCAGGATGTTTACAAGCCACATGGGGGTCTCTGTCAGCCTCACATCCTGGGGCTGCCTGTCTATCGTCTCTTCCTTTGGCCTGGTGAGGACCCCTGATATAGAACCCTTCCCACATCCAACTACACAGCAACCCATCTCTAAGCAGCCAAACCACAGAGCCCCCATCTACCCACACTCACCTCCGGCTGAAGGCCAAGTCCATGACCCTGCGCTGTTTGTGCCAACGTTCGTGGTCACACTCCGATACCAGGCCCTGGCCAAAGAGTCTGTGGGATAAGACGATTGAGACAGGGGGCCGGGAGGAGTAGGGTGGGGGTGCTGCGAATAGACAGGGGGTTCCTTTTGGTGGTGAGGAAAACATTTGGGACTGCGTGAGAATAGCACAACTGAAAATGACAAATCTTCTGTGGTGTAAGTTTTACCACATTAACAGGGTGAGGGGAGACACAGGGTGACTTCATGCATGATCTCAGCATCCCATCCCCACCTAAACCCAGAGGGGAAGGTACAGGAAGGACAGTGATGACCACCACCTTCGAGGCACCAGTGATGGTCTCGGGCTCATGATACACCCCTCATTCGAGGCTTTTACCCTCTTTCCCTCAGACTCCCCACTGCCCGGCACCTTACCTCTCACCAAACACAGTCTGGATGGCACGGTACATCTTTAAGTCTTTGTTGTACTTGGTTGACATCAGGAACTTCTAAACACCACACACGCACACACACAATAAAAACACAACATGAGCTTATGCAAGGGGGATCCGGTACGTTTCTTGGTTCTGGTAAACACACCTGGGACAATCACCATTTGTGAGTGTGAACAGCCCCCACACAGGTCTCAGCTTCTCCCTAGCCACCAGGGAGGAGAGGGTCCTGTCTTCCAGCGATACCACGGCTGGTTTCAGATAGGACAATGAGAACCAGAGGTCTGACATGGAATTTCCCATTCCAGAGCCACACCTGGGACACCCCACCTCATATCACCTTCTAATGCAGAGAGGACAGGTAATCATTGTGGGAGAGGGACTTCTAGGATGCAGGGGAAATCAAGGCAGGCTTCCTGGAGAAGGGTCCACTTGCCATACCAAGAGCTAAATGGTAGCACTCCTACCAAGGTTAACAGTTTCCAAGGCAGGCGACCCAGGGGCTAGCAACTTGGGCAATGAAGCCAGCTAGCTCAAATCCAAATCCATGGCTTCATCTCTGGGGACACATAGTCTACAGTGGGCTACTCATTTTCTCCCCCTCAGTTTCCATAGTTCACAACATGGGGGTAGGAAGAATGCCTGCTGAAGTAGCATTGCTGTGAACAGTAAATTGTTGTTGTTGTTAAGTGCCATCGAGTTGGTTCCAACTCATAGTCATCCTGCAGAAGGATTCCAAGGAGTCGCTGGTGTGTTTGAACTGCTGACCTTGCACTTAGCAGGCCAGTGCTTATCCTGCAGCACCACACCAGGACTCCTAAATAAAGGATATTGGGAGCAGGACCTGGCATCCAGTGAGTTCTCAACAATAACCAATCTCTCATTAGATCTCACTTAATATTCGTCAGCCCTAACATGTGGATGCTATTTAAAAAACAGCCCAAAACCACACACAGGGTAAACGGTGGGTATGGGAAGTAAATCCAGGCAATCTGATGTGATGGAGATAGGAAAGAATGTCTTGATCCTAATGAAAATAATAGACAAGAACTCTAAAATCCCTTAATATAAATATTGTAAATATGGTCAAGGATTTCAAGAAAGCTATAAACATAAACTTGCATGTCCAAGAAGTTCAAAGAATCCCAAATAGATTAAACACAAAGAAAATGACACCAAGGCAGATCTTAATCAAATTGCTGAAAAACAGTGATAGAGAATCTTAAAAGTTAATACATCCCCACTGAGTAGTTCTCAACTTGTCTACATGGGTCTGGTGAAAGGAGATGTGGATAAGATTCTTATGATTCAATAGTGAGTAATTGTTATCATGACTAATTACGATTGTCACAACTATAAAGGTAGAAGTTTTGTAACATTGAGGGGGGTGTAGTTAATTTTATAGTCCAGTAACAGAGGACCGTAGGGCCATCAAAGGAGAAGAGCATGAGCGGAATGCAGGACCCTGTTGGGGAGCGCAATCACTGAGATGTTGAGGCCCTGTGTCATGGACCAAAATCCAACACAGTGGCTCCACTCAGAATTGCTAGCCAGGGACCCTGAGGGCCAAGGAAGTGACCTCCTTACGTCCCGGGTTCATTGGCTTTTACGAACTCACTTTTGGGCTAGCTCTGTATCATTTTCTTTGGTCCTATTATTCATTTTATGCTTCTAACTCCAGTAATTGTAGCTCTGAGAAAATGGTTTCTTATGTGCCTCTCTTAATGTCTCCACTGTGTTGGCAGTGCGTAAGGTTCTGGGAACAAATCTCTCTGAGGAACAAACTCTGGCCACCTGGCAAGCATGTCCAAACTGTTCTTTATCAAATTATTCAGTTATGTTTGATATTAACTTAATACATGAGCTCTTAGTATCCATGTACAATATTAATATAAAAACCCTTCCTAAAGCTGAGGCCGTAAAAGTTCCAAAGGCAAGTTTGCTGGGAGGTAGATTGGTGAGTTCCGGAGTATTGTTCAAGGAATAATAGTGTCAGCCCTTCTAATCGTCCCCAGGTGTCCCTCTTCCTCCTGAAGCCTTAGCCAGGTAGCTGAAACAGCTTGATTCTCTTCAGACCTTTTGAATCCTTTTCTCACCTTTGCCCATTGGAAATTAGGTGCTATAGGTATGTTAATTAGCCTTGAAAAACCTCGAGTTGCTGCCTTGGGGTTTGAACCTAAAAAGTAATTTATAACAATTTGCTTGAATTTCTGGAAAATTAAGGATGATTATTAAGACAATTTGTGATGTATATTTTAGAATTTGTTCCTATAAATCATGGTGTCCTGTTTTGAACGATTAAACACATTTCACTTCTGTACCCTGTCTTAATAATCCCCTTCTTCCTTTGTGTAAAATCCCTCCCTGAAATAAAAGAGGGGCACAGACTGAACCCTGTGTGCATTACTGCCTGCAGGGGCCATGATGCCTGCAGTCCAGGGTCTGCCTGCCTGTCTTGCATCCACTCTAGTTTTGGGGTGTCTCTTTGTCTCTCTCGTCGCGTCTTTGTGTACACTCTTTTTCTGTCTCTGTCGCCACCAGATCTCCCTACTTCGTGAACCAAACTTTCCTGTCGAGGCCGGACCCCTACAGGACCCTATCCAGAGAAGCAGCGACACCAGAGATGGAGGCAGAAATGAGGACATGGAGAGAGGGAGCAGCTGAGAACTCTAGACTCATGGAAAGAGAGGGACTGGGTGCTGGTGGTCAGGAGGTAGGCTTGCAGAATGTGCCCTTCGGTTGTTTAAATGATTATATATTCCTGAGTGTTTTTGTGCACTTGCCCCCTCCCCCCCCACAAAACAAAACAAAAGGAATAGAAGCAGATACTGTTGAATTATGATACATGGAGATTGTAATCATTGCAATGAAATGATGAATGTAAAATTGATGTCCTCCCATGTAAACTATCACTCAATTCACAATAAAAACTTAAATAAATAAATAAGTTAATACAGAAAAAGACCCAGTGTGAATAGAGGAACAAAGGTATGAATGAACACAGACTTTTCATCAGAAACAGACAAGCCAGAAACTAAAGAAGAAATAGCCTTAAAATGCTGAAAGAAAACCCTAGAAAACAACCTGAACTTCTATACAAATAAAAATACTTAAAAAAAAAAAAAAATGAATGTGCAATAAAGACTTTTCCAGACAAACAAAAGCTGAGACAATTTTCTGCCAGGAGACCTGCATTATCATAAATATTAAAGGAAGTTCTTCAAGGAGAATAAAAAGGATACCAGATGGAATCTAGGAATTACTCCTACATACACAATGAAAAATGCCAGAAATAGTAAATATATGGTAAGTATAAAATCTAATTTTAATCTATTTTAATTCATGTAAAAGGTAATTGGTAATTTAAAGCAAAGATAATAACAATGCATTGTGGGGATCTATAGTAGAAGTAAAAGTAAAGGAAGGGACAGAAAGGCAGCAAAGGTAGTCTTACTTGTGGTAAGGCTCTTAGTATATGTAAGTGAAGTAATATTGAAGGTAGACTGACACAGTTCAGATGCTAATGAACCCTGAATGGAGAGACAATGTGAAATCAAAAAAGTGTCTATCCAAACAAAGAACAGGGAACAAGGAACAGATGGGATGAGAAAAACAAATTGCAGCACAACACAGTTAAAACAAGTCATGCCAATGATTACACTAAATGTAAATGACCTAAGCATTCCAATTAAAAGGAAGGGATTGTGAGACTGGTAAAACAGCAAGGCCTGGTTAGAGACATTCTCTGGGCAAGAAACTTGCTTTAAACACAGAAACAAAGATAGGCTAAGAGTAAAAGGGTAGGAACAGATACACCCTGTAAGCCCCGAGGGTAAAAATGTTAGAGTGATTTTGGTAGGTAAAATAGACTTCAGAGAAAGGAATGTTACTAAGGATATAAAAGAGTATTCTAAAAAAATAAATAAATAAAGAGGTCAACTCATTATGAAGAATCAACAATCCTAAATGTGCATGCACCCAGCTACAAAATGCAAGAAATGGACTAAACTGAAAGGAGAAACCAACAAATCCACAATTATGATTGGAGAGTCCAATAATCTCCTCCCAGGAAATGATAAGACAAGTAGACAGAAACTCAATAAGGATTTAGAAGACTTAAATAGCACTATCAACCAACTAACTTATATTTCTAAAACATTCCACTAAGAAAAGAGTGTATCATTCTTTTTAAGTGCTCATGATCACTCACCTAGATAGGTCACATTCTGGGCCATAAAACAAGTCTCTATCCATTTAAAATGTTTAAAATCATGAAGAATGCATTCTCTGACCTTAACAGACTTAAATTAGAAATCATTTCCACGTGTTGTTGTTGTATGCCATTGAGTCAACTCTAACTCATGTGATGGTGGTAGTGGTGTGCCGTGGAGTCGGTTCTGACTCACAGTGACCATGCATAGGGTATCAGAGGCTGTAAATCTTCCAGGGCTGAAAGCCTCATCTTTCTCCCCTGGAACAACTGGTAGTTTCAAACTGCTGACCTTGAGGTTAGCAGCCCAACTCGTAACCACTACGCTACAACTTATAGTGGGTTTGAATTGCTGACCTTGTGACTAGCACAGTTAGCCACAGTCCAGTACTTATCCTATAGCACCATACCACTTCCAAACAGATAAATGGAAAATCCATTCATACTCATATTAGAAATTGAAAACTACACTTTTAAATAACTCATGGTTTGAAAACAGACATAGACACAGGAACAAAATACTTAACAAAATATTAGCAAATTGAATGCAGCGACTTAGAAAAACAGAGAATGCATCTTGATAAGCATGCAAGGTTGATATGTCTTTGAAGATCAGCTGATGCAACTCACCATATTAATTTGCATCTTTATACTTCCTTCCTAGAGCATCATGTGAGCTCGCTTGCCTGTCTTGGTGGCAAGCTTTTAAAAGTCTTCCACTGTCTTTATGTTTAAAATTAAACTTTGTTTTGAAATGATTTTTAGCCGTCTGTTAGAGACACGATGCTTGCTCAACTTCCCTTCTGATCTGGACCCAAAATTGTAGCTTGTCTTTCTCAGTGCCATCCTAACCACCCTCCATGCAGAGAGTGCTGAGTGCTGAGCACCCACGTGAAATTAACAAACCATCATTCACAGGGCTAGATGGCTCACAGATCTTACATTGGCTTCCTCTTTACAACTACCTCTTAAGACAGGCATATTCTTATTTTGCAGATGAGGAAAGATATGATACAGAGTGGTAAACTAATTCTCCAAGGTCTCACGCTCAGTTAGTGGCAGAACTGGATTTGAGCCTGGTTCTGCTGACCCTAAATGATCTGACAACCATGCTTAGTTCCTACATGGTAGGCACCATCCTGCACACTTTATACCAATTAATGCAACCCACCTCCCTGGGGTAGGGCTCCAGGATAAGCACCGGTTTGGCAACCATAAGGTTGGTGGTTCAAATCCCACCAGATGCTCCTTGGAAACTCTGTGCAGGGTCACTATGAATCAGAACCGACTTGATGGCACCCAAGAACAACCTCCTTGGAGTCAGTGGGGAAGAGCATAACCCTTGGAGTCAAACTACCTGGGTTCAAATCCCACTTGCCCCCTTTGTGCCTTTGCTTTCTTATGTTTAAAATGAGAACAAATATGATCCTTCTCCTTATGAGGGTTCAACAGGTTACTAACTGTCAAGGATTCAGAACAATGCATGGTCCACAGGAAGCACTAAGTGTCTTTGGACAGCGTATTTGTTTAATAAGTCTATCAACCTTTGAATCCCATCACTGTCCTAGCATGTAGGCTGTAGGGATTAACTATGAAATCACCAGTTAGTGGTGGAACAAGAAGCCTAGTACCCAAATCCTCACTCATCTCCCCCATCAAACAGCGCCTCCACCTCACCCTGCCTGTTCCAAGTGGCTGATGGGTGGAGATGATGATGTCATCCCCTTCTGGGTCCCTGGGGGCATTCCTCAACAGCTCCAGGGGCTGCTGTCTCACCTTCTACCCAGGGGAAGGGGCCAGAGCTCCCACGGAAACCACTCTAGTTCTTACCTTGACTGATTCAGGACTGGTGACGATAACAGAGGTTTTGTGGAAGACATTGACCCGCACAACAGGTCCATACTTCTTAGTCCTGGAAACCAAAGTGACCCAAAAGAAGTTGTTGATATCCCCGTCAGAGAAGTGGAAGCATCCCATCCCAGGAGGGGACTTAACAGAGGCTACCACAGGGCTCAACCTCCACCTCTGTAAGATGGGTTTGCTACATTCCTTGTCTGATTGCCCCCTAATCAAACAGCACAGTATCTGCAAAAGCACTTTGAAGAGAATAAAGTGCTACCCCGATGGTGAATGGTATCTCCTGCCCTGTTAACAGATGGGAAAACTGAGGCTCTGAGAGCTTCTGATAACTAATCTATGGTCACTTGATTGGTGAATGGCAGCACTTGGCTTCAGAATCAGCTGTCAGGGGAAGAGCTGCTGGGGCGTGGGATGGCCTGAGCAGTCATGGGGGTGGGGGGTGGGGTACTGCATGGAGGGGCCCCAGAATACTGCCAACAAATTATAAGCTAGAACCCACCAATCCAAAAACACATCTTGGAGCGTACGGCCACAAACCTCATCCTTTTTCCAAAAGTATGGGAGATGTCCTAGAAGGAAACTAGAAAAAAGGGGAACACATTAGGATCGCCAGCACTCCATTGTTATAGAATGTTCCTTTGGAACATTGACTATGGAGTCAATACTATTAGACCCACTTCACATGTGGGAAAACTGAGGTTCAGGAGGTTGTGGCTGAGTGCCCAGGGTCCTTCGACACATGAACAGAGCTCGATAAACACTGAATGGTAATGGTCTTGAGGAATTCAGTGACTACCTTCTATGGTCACCAGGCTCAGTTTCCCCTCACAAGACCTTACCCATATCACCTGGAAGCACCTCTATGTGGAATAGGTGAGGCAGGGACCACTGTGGTTCTGAAGGATAAGCACCAGACTGCAAACCACCAAATTGGCAGTTTGAGCTCACCAGCTGCTCCTTGGGAGAAAGATGAAAGTTTCTGCTCTGGCAACGATTTACAAATTCTTCTAAAGTTGGAAAGAGTACAAAGAGTCACTGTACCAAAAAGAAATGGTTGATGTCCAAATATTTCAAGAGGTAGCATATGACCAAGAGCCAATGATACTGAAGGAAGAAGTCCAAGGTGCACTGAAGACATTGGCAAAAAACAAGGCTCCGCGGAGGAACAAACAAGATGGCGGATCGGGTGGACGTATAGCAGAGAGCTCCGCCAACAACAACACAGAATACCCGACCAAGCAGGCTCAGGGG